GGGGTGAGTTCGAGGACTGTGCCTCGGGTCATCTCTTCTATGCAAGCTAGGAAGAGTCATTCCAAGGGTAGCTGTCAAGGCTATCTTGTTTCCATGGTATCCGACGATGTTGATGAGCGGGTGCCCGAGAGAGTATCTATTGTCTGCGAGTACCTCGACGTCTTTCCTGATGACTTACCCGGAGGACCGCCCGACCGCCAGGTGGAGTTCACCATTGACCTAATTCCAGGAGTCGGCCCCGTTTCTAAGGCCCCTTACCGTATGGCGCCGAAGGAGCTTCAAGAGCTCATGGCCCAGATCCAGGAGTTGCTCAAGCTCGGTTTCATTCGTCTGAGTGTCTCGCCGTGGCGTGCGCCCGTCCTATTCGTGAAGAAGAAAGACGGATCTATGAGCATGTGCATTGACTACCGGGAGTTGAATGCCCTTACAGTCAAGAACAAGTATCCCCTTCCCCGTATTGAGGACCTTTTCGATCAGCTGAGAGGAGCCAGCGTCTTCTCGAAGATTGACTTGCGTTTTGGCTATCATCAGCTGAAGATCCGAGAGTCAGATATTTCCAAGACAGCTTTCCGTACCCGCTATGGCCACTATGAGTTCGTAGTCATGCCGTTCGGACTCAGCAATGCCCCAGCCGTTTTCATGGACCTTATGAATAGGGTCTTTCATCCCTTCCTGGACCAGTTCGTTATTGTGTTCATCGACGACATCCTGGTCTATTCCCGAGATATCGATCAGCATAAGGAGCATCTGAGGATTGTGCTGGAGACTCTTCGCCGCGAGAAGTTGTATGCTAAGTTCTCGAAGTGCGAATTCTGGTTGAATCGTGTGGCATTCCTTGGCCACATTGTGATAGCTCGAGGCATTGAGGTGGATCCCAGCAAGATCGAGGCAGTGAGTAAGTGGGATACGCCGAGAAGCGCAGCGGATGTTCGTAGTTTCCTGGGGTTAGCAGGATACTACAGGAGATTTATCGAGGGCTTCTCGAAGATAGCCCAGCCGCTGACCAAACTTACGAAGAAGGCCGTGAGGTTCGATTGGAGTTCTCAGTGCGAGGAGAGTTTCCAGGAGTTGAAGAGGAGACTCACTACCGCGCCTGTCCTATCTATACCCGACCCTACTTTGGAGTTCACCATCTATAGTGATGCTTCGAAGATGGGTTTG